CCTGTTCAGCATCTGGATGGCGTCTGAAAGCATTGCACCAACGATAGAACGTGATCGGTTACCAGCGGTGAATGACGAGATCGCAGCAGATGAAAATCGATATCGCCTAATACAGATCCTTGGTGATGGTGGCTACGGAACTGTATTTCTCAGTCAAAACTCGCAGAAGTAAGCAAGAATGTCCGTCTTTAGCTTCGGGAGTCGTATAAACTTTAGCAGGAGCATAGCTGTGAAAACGGAAAAGTACAGCAAGTCAATGCTGCACATTGAAGTGAATGTTCTCAAAGCAGCTAATGCTGCAAAGTGCAAGCACTTTTGCCAACTGTTCGACTATGTAGGTAGAGCAAATAATCGGGCTTTACCATCGGATAAGTGATTCAGGGCACATGCAAGCCAGACTACGTTTACGTTGTTATGACGCTTTTACATAAGGATCTTCACAAACTGAGGGCTGAGATGCCAGACAGAAAGTTCACATTTAGCACAGCTCTCCGTCTAGCGATGCAAACTTTTAACGTATGTTACAGAGTTACCGCATACTCATAAATGAGAGCCTATACTTTATCTCAGGCCATTGAGGAACTGCACTCGATTGGATATATCTCTCGTGATATTAAACCTGGTAACTTTGCTCCTGGGCATAAGGCAACTAGAGAAGGAAAGACTATTTTTATGTATGACTTCGGTCTCGCAAGAAGATATGTGGACAAGGTTGTAAGAAGTAAAAATAGTCAGGAGTGAGTAACTACCCCATTGCAGAATAGGAATGTCATACCATCACGGAAAGAGGTAGGATGGAGAGGTACCACGCGCTATGGAAGCCTTATAGCACATAAAAGACAGGTATCAAAAGCAAATGACTTCCTTTTGCTTTCACAGAATTTTCTCAGGACCTTGGTAGGCGAGACGACCTGGAAAGCTGGTTTTACATGCTGATTGAAATCACGAGGGGAAGCTTACCATGGAGACTGGTCACAGGTTGGGCGAGGTTATCGTGTCGTCTTCATGAAGAAATGAGAATGAATCGTATAGACCGAGCACAAGTTTATGCCGCTAAGCTAGCTGCTCGAGAAGGCGAAGGACGAGCACATTTTCTCAGTGATACACCACCTCAGTATAACATGCTACTCACATGGATTGATGCTTTGGTATTCGAAGATACACCTCCTTACTCTAAATTCTACAGTATGCTAGATGGGGTAAATTACAAGTCACTTCAAAAAACTGTACGGAGAAGTCTAGCTATAAATTACGATTTTTAAGATCCGCGAAGAACGTAAGATTCGTATGCATGAACGTTGGGACTGGGAAGACGACACGTCAACAGTCACAAGCAGATCCGACGCCCGAACTGATGCCCGAAACTAGCCATTATTTCATTTCGCAAATTCCCATTTCATTTCCGAGTAAATTATCAGTCTAACGAAGCAAAATGTGACTTTTCCATGATAATAAGTCAACCATGCTGTATGTCGCGATATCCGCACTAGCTTCCGCTTCAGTGCGGACAACTTACATCCTACCACCTTTGTCTCCCCTTTACGCATCTCTCATTCAGTAAAAAAACGCACTCACTA